TGTGTGTGTGTGTGTGTGTGTGAGCATGTGTGTGTGGTTAAACATGCTTGTGTATGTGTTCTGTTGTGTAACTGTAGGCTCATAGGTCATAGCCTGCCTCACACATAACTCACTTCTCCACTGGCTTGCAGTCTCCTCTTCAGCTCGGCGTTCTCTCGCTCCAGTACCTTATTCTGAACAGCAGAGGGATATATTAGACGGTTCGAGCATTCACACACATTTCGATCAAAACAAGTGCCATGAGTTTACAGCAACACATAACCTAATGTTGCTGAGAGATTCTCTTTTTAAAAGAGGCGATAACAACCTTTCCATTTGTATGATTGGAGAAAGCAATCAACGTGGCTCAGTGGTCAACAACTCTATGATAGCCCTGAGGCCAATAAATCACTTTTAGCATTTTATTGTGACTGTGTGAGTCACTGTTTGCAAGTACAAGTTAATATGCCATGCCCTAAAATGTATCATGCCTCACAAATGTCACATTACAGTACATTAAAGAGATGCTTTGATTGCGTGCCACTTCATCTTGTCGTGCCGTGTTAAGACACAGTAAATGTGTTCTGTATGCTGACGGGTCACCTTGTGTCTCAGAGCCTCCACCACCAGGTCACGATCACCCTGGAGATTTCCATCCTGCTTATAAGCCTGAAAGGTGTCACCAATGATGGAAACCAGCAGATGGGACTGACAGAAAGAAAACAACGCAGATCAACTCCAAAAAGAATTTAAGGTAAGATTTAACATTGCATCAATGTCAGTTAATGATAGATTTTCTAACTTTAATAATTTATTAGTATAAATTGATAAAAGCAGTTAAATTAAGGAAACAGTTCTTATTCAAATGTACTATTTAATGAAGTTTATAAAACAAATACAGTGTGTACCCACTGTAAAGCTGATATTAAAACAAAGATTCAATGGATGTGAATTTACTTGTGTATTATAATTAAAAGAACAATTTTCTACTTGAAGAATGTATTGCTGTGATCAAAGCATCAGCATCATTACTCCAGTCTTCAGTGTCACACGATCCTTCAGAAATCACTATAATATGCCGATTTGCTGCTCAGTTGTTCGATTATTATTATCAATGCTCAAAATAGTTGTGCTGCTTCATATTTTTGTGGAAACTTTGAACACAACGTTCAAAAGAACAGCACTTGATGATTAATTTAGTATACATTTCTTTCAAAGAAAGAGTCAAAGTCTTTTGAAGAGTAGTGTAGGAACACGAATGGAAGAATATAGTGGCTTGTAATAGGCATGTAAGTCTGGCCTGCTTTCTTATAGCTCAAATAGTAAAGCAACACCAGGGTCACGGGTTCGATTCCCAGGGAAAGCAAGAGCTAATTAAATATAAAATGTGCACCAAAAGTAAAATAGTTAACTAAGTAAATGGTAAATATTGAATTAAAAGCATCATGCATTTCTAATGTAACGCATTTAGGATTTCCAGAACTCACAAACTTCTTGCTCTGGAAGATGTAGCAGTGGTACATGTCCGCCGCGGGGTGTTTGGCCACAAAGCTGAGTATTTTGGGCTGAGTCGGATGTACTGCGCAGAATGAAACAGAGGACAAAGTGCAGGAGTACAGCATGAACTGAGAAAACGAGAGGGAGAGGATAAATGAGTTGTTCGCTGTCGTACACACATGTATCACTGTCTGGGTTTGAGTACATAGTCCTCAGTCACACCTTTGTTTTATGCTCTAGAATGTCAATAGCGCTTCTGGTCAGAAACATATGTACTTTAGTTTTCTTCATTTTCTCATCCATCTCTATGTTTGGATCCTAAAATGGAAGGAAAGTTGTAAGACAAAGGATCAAGTTATATGATATCTCTATCTCTAATGACTACAGTACAGTGACGTTTATGGTTTTATTACCTGTATGGCTTGTACTGCATCTGTCAGAATCTGCATCCCACCTGGATGGACCACCTGGATTCGACCTAAAAACTATACACACAATCCACAAACCCCATTCGTGATTCACAGCAGTTTTTGCAACATGATAACATTAATCACATTAAGAGCATTATTAGTAGTACATAAATGAAACAACATTATTGACTTTTAGAAACAATATTCTTTAACTGATACTCACTTTAACTGAGAAGTATATTTCGCTATCGTCATCTATGTCACTCATTTTCACCACTTTATTGTCTCTAGCATCTGTCTAAAAATGACAAAATACACAGTGTAGTAAACAAGGCAAGATGACATATTTCAAATATTTTATTAAAGCAATGCCACACTGTGGCCTGAAAGTATTTGGACTCTTCTGGCACACTTTAAAATGTCTTAACACTGAATAACAAAATAACAAACCAAGTTGGATTTGCAAAGAAATGCTACACAAACTTTTCTCAGAACTAACTTCCCTTTTTTCAGTATATAACACAAACCAGAAAGCACAAACACCACTACATATCCAAAATAACTTTAAACACACACACATGATAAACTGAATATGCACTTACGTTTGGATGAGAACTTTGTATCGCTGAGGTGATGTTCTCTTCCTCAGTCTTACAGGGTTAAAGTTGTATGATGTTAATGGTTAACTGTAAAACATATTTTCTTTATGGCACATCAGGCCTGATAACCAGTCAGCTATTACCATCTGTTGTTTTATCATTGTGATGCCATATCTGTTTATGAACATGTTATATAGCCTGACGGACAAGTTAAAGAAACACCTCATTGTGTTTCAATTTAATATTGATATTATTGTTTCAGTGTAATATATGAAATGTATGCTATAACCAGTTTAAATGTGCAAGTGAGGATAGCTGAACTGAAAGACATTTTGTATAGAAGATCAAGAACAAGTTGGCTGTAATCAGTAGATGGTGCTGTTGTAAATAAAATAATGTCATAATGTACTGACATGTGGCAAAAAATAAAAATAAAAAATCGTACAGAATTAATTTACAAGTTATAGCCATTCAAGTCATGTAGGCTTTCCAGACCAAATGAGTTTAAATAATCCTAAACATCTAATAAAGGTGCAATCATCCAGCAATGAATCTAAATAATTCAAGAACCATAAGTAATCAGCTCATTCAAAAAGCAGCATGTATTTTACACACAGTAATGTCTACATACCCTCTGCATATGTTGAGATTTATCAAAGTTCATTAGAAAAATCACAAAGAGACTGTGGGATGGGGGTGAAATAGTGTCAGTGCAGACTGATTTGAGTCAAAACTATTTAAATGATGTGATAAGGAAGTGTGAACAAGTATTTCTTGTTTTACAGACAAGCTGATGTACATAGAATTTTATTTCTGTTCAGCCATTGTACACATGAAAAAACTTTGCTGCAGGCGTTTTTGCATATTTGATAAAGCTTAAAGGGATAGTTCACCCAAAAATGAAAATTCTGTCATCATTTACTCACCCTCATGCCGTTCCAAACCTGTATGAGTTGCTTTCTTATGTTGAACATAAAAGAAGATATTTTGAAGATTGCTGGTAATCAAACAGTTGGTAGTTGTCATTGACTTCCATAGTAGGGAAAAAAATACTAGGGAAGTAAATGGCACCCACCAACTGTTTGATTACCAGCAATCTTCAAAATATCTTCTTTGATATATTCACTCCATTTGGGTGAACTATCCCTTTAATCTAATCTGCAAAACAGCACATATGCCCCTGAACAATGTTGTCCGGTAGCATGTGTGTTTATGTACTTATCATCTACATGCATAGTTTGCATTCTTTTACTGTCACTTTTACTGGCATTCCCATTCATTCAAGTGAAACTACAGGCAAAACTCTTATGAAATACCTGAAAAGCACTGATAATGTTCACGCTCTGTTTTCTGAATCTGATCGTTTCCCAGAGACAGAAAGAGCTACACTGTCTATGGTGTTGCTTCATGCACAATCTACTTTCTTCAAAGACTCATCTTATTTAGGGCCAAAGAAACTAGACTGCTAAGTGACATTTAAACAAAACCCATTCAGTTTGTCCTATTTTTAGGTGTATGCCAATACTTATACTGTAGGTGTTACACAAACATTTTACTCACAGTTTAAAAGATGTCAACTTGTAATTGTGGTTGCTTTTCTCTCATATATATGACTGTTACAGAAGCATCATGCTCATTCAAACTGAGGTGATTTAACTAATGAGCCCTCTCGAATTTTCAAGACATTTCCCATTGTATTGCTAACTACATTTCTTGATTATTGTACAAATTGTTGGTATTTGTGCATGACTTTCCTAGACTGTGCCAAGCCGTTTCTTTCTATGTGCAGATGTTTATGTCATAACTGCATAAAGGACAAAAAAAAGGACAAAGATAATGAAAAGTGTTTCATTATCATTATCAAAACATGAAGTGAAAATGAAAGCATGTTCGTATCAATCAAGCACCACTCAAAAGAGTTATCCATGACTCCTCTGAAGTAGAGTGGATCCCAAATGCAGGATACACTGTGTCCTTAAACACGGCACTAAATGTATGAAGATGCTGCCTTCGCCCTCCTTGACCTGAGCTGTGGAATCCAAAAGTTCCTCCTTCGTAATCCAGGGTCACTTCGACCTTCTTTGGTGGCATGACCAGCCCTTCACCTACGGCCACATTAGCCAAGTCATAGCATGCCGCCAGCTTCTTGCTTTTCCACTGCAACCTCCAAGAGCTGGTGTTATGCCCCAGCCTGCTGTGGTCACCTTTGCGCGGGATGCTTTTATAGCACAGACCCACAGACCACATACATCCAGGGCCAACCTCCACTGCCCACATGTGAACTCCTGTGGAGAAACCCTGGGTGCACATGACCTGAGTGGCCGTGGAGAAGCGTTCGCTCTGATCTCCAGCGACACTGCTCTTAAATCGGGCACACTGCTTGACTGTTTTCAGATCACTGGACAGCAGAAGGCTAGGATGGGCCGTGGCTGCATTGAAGGTCAGGTCTAGAGGGTTCATCATGCCATGGAGGTACTCCAACAGAAGATTCATCTCGGCACGGAAGGCGCCTGTACGTAGGATCGAGCGCAGCTGCTTGGCATTGGAAGACTCTTGGGAAGGTAGAGCAGGAATGGTGACGTTAGCAGCCTGGCGGATCCTTGCTTCAACATTGAGGTAGTTCTGGATGAAGAGAAACTCTGAGGATTGAGAGAGAACCTCGCCGGTGCACTTTTGGGCTTCCTGCAGCTGGTGTAGACAACCCTCCAAGTCGCATAGATTGGCCTGCCAGCTTTTGTCCCGCAAATGAAGCTCGTCGTCCATCACAGAGCTCATACGACTCTTAAAACATCACATATAAACAGCGTTAATGTGCTTTACCGCAACATGACTGTATGTCGTCAGCACTGTGTAGATCTGTTGCTCTCTACATAAGTGATGGTGACATTTCTTTGGCATCACTACTAAAACCTACCCAGGCTCATTGGAAATACGTACCTCTATCTACATTTCTGAAAACTCAAAAAACGTATGAATTTCTGCAGTTTCCAGTTGAAATGAACACTAGAGGCAGTAAAATTCTGACAACTTGTATTCCTTTACAGACAAAGTATGATTTACAGGGCCAGAGAAAGCCTAATTTGGCACAATTCATTGCACAATATTGTGTTATGACTTCAAAACAGTTTTATATGCTGCGAGATTTGGAAAGTGATACTTTTGAACGATACAGCTTCGTATGTATTGGTTTTCTAATGCAGTAGGTTTGCTCGGTCACTCACGTGATATGGCGTTGCACTTGTGAGGTGAAGCACTCCAGTACAAATCCCGTGAAACTACCGTTTGAGAAAACGGCTCAAACACACATCGAAGTAAGTTAAAACAGCATGGTTGCATCAGCGAAAACGTTTTTATCTCACTTTTCCATTTAGTAATACTGTCGGGTAGGTTTAGGGTTGGGTTTGGTGTAGCCTGTATGTTACTTTCCAACACAATAGAGCATTAACTTTTGGCGACACTCACCGGACATTTGAATTCTGAACCGCCAAAATACGTACCTGAAGCAAGGCAGCAATACGTGTCACTCTGAAACTGCCGCGAAACGTGCAATAAGGTGTTGCAGAAATGTCACCTCAAGCATGCATTTCCAATGAGCATGGGTTGACTAAAACCAAAAGAGACTGCTTCCACATCATGTATATATTGTCTGAACACATCAATCTGAACTAGTAGCATCATTTTACATCATTCTTACCTTGTATGTACTTATAAGTGAAGTCATGCTGTCCAGCAGTATGTTTGCTCTGGCCACCAGTTTATCTTTGGCCTTGTCCGTAGGACCTTCTCTGGCGCTTTTCTGCAGAGCTTCTGTCATCTGTAGCTTGTCAGACACAGACTTCCCCAGTTCCTCAAGAACTCTCTTCATTTCCTCCTTCGCCACCTCGAACGTCTGCACCTCGTGGTGTTGGTGAGTGCCCTCCATCAAGCAGTCGGAGCAGAGGAACAGTCGCTCCTGCGCGCACAGGTACTCTGTGACCTTCAAGTGCACTGGGCACCTCTTCCCATCCCGTTCTGCAGGTAGCTCCACTAAGACGTGCAGCGAGCGGTGCCGTTCCTCATGCTTTTTGAGGTGGCTGGGGCACAACGACATTTCACAGCGTGTGCAGAATTTCACCGCAGGCTTTGGGTCATCCAGGCACTGGTCACATGGTGCCGTAAGGCCTCCTCTCAGTCCGCCGCCTGTCGTGGCCACCAGGAACCCGTCCACGATACTGCTGAGCTTGAAGTTCTTGGGAAGTGCCTCTGGGCTGTCGTACTCTTCCCTGCATTCCGGGCAGCGTCTCAGGGACTTGGGATCTTCTGCGCTTGCAGCATTTTGAATACAACCCAGGCAGTAATTGTGTCCACAAGGAAGGGCCACGGGATCACGGTACAGCTGCAAACAGATCGCACAGCTCAACTCCAAAGCTAGACGCTCCTCAGGTTTGCTTTGAGACATGTCTACAGGTACTGAGTGAAAGCGCTTCTGTGTGTCGGCTTTGAGAAGCGGTTACTGGTATAGCCTGTTCTGAGCCTGTGCTGTAACATTCCAGGTACAGACGACATTGCCGAGAAATGCAAATGGTTCTGCCGGCACGGTGAGAATGATTTATGGTAACTGACATGATGTTTATGGACAAAACAACAATCTCTAATGGAAAATTGGATAAATTAAACACTACGGGAATCTATGCATGCTGATTAGACTTTTTGAAA